TTATTTTTTCGCCCCGTTGTATCTCGAAAATATCTCGAGTGTATCCCTGAAGTATCCTCACGTATCCCAAACGTATCTGAAATTCAAAAAATTAAAAAAAAAAAAAAAACTGGGATACTTCTTTGCCATATCTGATACGTATCCCGCCGTATCGGACGCGTATCTGTATCCTATACGTATCCGACATGCGCACGAGGGCCATTTCAGAGTATCCGTGCTTTATAGGATGAGAGCAACCAGAATAAAAACTCCATGTGTGAGGTAGAATACCGAAGGGAAAGAAACCAAGCATACCTAAGTAAGTGATGGTCAAAATTGAGGCTTGAGGAGAAATATCCTAAGCGGCTACCATGAAGACTTAAACTGCTTGAATATAGACTGCATGGAGAGAGATGGAGCAGTACTAGAAACTGAATTGGCAAGAGCAGCAAAAGGACGAGGTGGTTGCAGTGATGATCAAGAGAATGATGGAGGTTGCAAGAGCTTAGGGCATGCATGTTTCCAATGGCCCTTTTGGTAACAAAAATTGCACTCATGCATAGCGACACGGGCTGTGGCTTGCCAATAACTTGAACCAAATGAGAAGTAGGAGTAGGCAGAGGAGGTGGAGCAACAAAAACAGACTAAGGATAGGCACCATGAGCAACTTTGAATTGAGTTTCCTCAACAATAAGCTCTTAAACAACACCATCGACAGATAGTAAGGAAGATTGATGTAAGATGGCTTCGTGAAGTGGCGCAAATTGAACATGGAGAGCCATCATAAATTGAACAAGACATTGTTTTTCCAAATACTTCATGTAAGTTCCAGGAATTGCAGTTCAGAGTGATCCATAAGCGCCAGTTGATCCCAGTAAGTAGCCATTTCATTGTAAAAATCCTTAATAGACTTATGTTTTTGTGTGGAGTTGCATATAAACATCTCAAGTTAGCAAATTTGGATTAAAGGTACACATCAGCTTTAGAGTATTTGAAGAAAATCATCCCATTACTTGGTTGTACAGAGTTATGGAACCAAATAAGAATCCGAGCATTTTCTTTATCCCATTTCGCAAAATCAAATTCAGTTTCTTTGGATTCAATAGCGCAAACAATCAAATCAACAACATATCCCCACATACCCTTGCCTACTAAGAAATCCTTCATAACGCTAGACCAATATGAGTAGTTGGTCCCTTCAATCGAATACTATAGCATGTAGCTTGTCATCAATCATTTTGCAAAATATCCACTAATAGTAATGCAAAAAGCAATACTATGTAAGCAATGAAAACCAATGATGCAGTCCATTCAGAAAGAATGGACTAGAGATCAGCGAAAGAGAAGCAGCTAAACTAGAGAGAAATTGAGCCAAAGGGCTAAGTATCTGATGAAACAATCAGAGATATCGACCAAAAAAGTCAAGCCACTTAGGGAAGTCACCAACAAGAACAAATGAGATTAGGAGTCACCAATGAGGACAAAACGAGAACAGAGAGGTCACAGACAAGACCAATGGTTGCAACGACAAACAAGAACGAAGAAGTTGTTTGCGATATGTGACGAGGACAAAGAAGTCGACGATGGTTGTCGACCCAACCAAAGGTGTTGCCGAGGAATCTAGGTGTGCGACTAGAGAGAGAAATCGCGACTGATTGATGTACTTCCGATCTGATATGGATTATCAATGACGGAACCACTAGCGGCTAGGGTTGCCGCTAACCTACTTTGATACCATGAAACAAGTAACCAAAGATATTGTATTTTATTATCACTTAATTAGCAAAAGAGATTACAAGTTAAATAGGCAAACTATGATAACCCTAAAAGCCTTATTACATGTACTAAGACTTAAGTTATCCTCATATACTAAATAATATAAGATATCTTAAATCTCACAGAATTACCTTATGAAAAGAAACAAGTTGGATGTAAGTAGGTGGTCATTGTGAAACATAAAGAAGATGGTTCAGTTGAGAGATAAAATTAGGCTAGTGGAATTGATTATCAAGAGACCTTTTCTCCATTAGCAAAGGTGAATTCCATTAGAGTCATTCTTTCATTGGCAGCTAACTAGGTTGACCTCAGCAGCTTAACGTAAAAAATGCCTTTTAAAAATGCCTTTCTTCATGGTAACTTGAAAGACGAAGTGTACATGGACATCCCTCCTCGATTCCCACTTCCCAATAATAGTGGAAAGGTTTGCAAGCTAAAGAAGTCATTGTATGGTTTGAAACAATCACCAAGAGCCTAGTTTAAGAGATTTACCAAAGCCATACTCAAAGTTGGACATCGTCAATGTCAAGCTGACCATACCTTGTTTGTAATACATTCATCACATGAGAAGATAACTGCACTAGTAGTGTATATCAGTGATATTGTATTGGTTGTGGATGATATAGCTGAGATGTAGAAATTAAAGAATTCCTTAGCTAAAGAATTTGAAATAAAGAAGGACGTTTGGTACGATGGAATGGGCTAGAATGAAATGCCTATTCTAACTTTGTATTCCCTTTCCCTTGTTTGCTACGCCTTATCTAAGTGGGCTATTCCAACAAAATGTGGGAATGCCTATTCCTTCCTTCAATCTAACGAATGGCCATTTCATTTCATCACACCATAAAATTTTATTATTATTATTATTACTATTATTATTATTATTATTATTTTGTAGGGACTTTAAAAAAATATTATCATTTAGCTGCCACCACTATATCCTTCTCCTACCACCCACTCCACCACCCTACCACCACCGCTGCCGCCACACCCTATTGCAACCACAACCACTACTACCACCACAAGGGTCGCCGCCTCAACCACCACCACACCACCATACTACCACCACCGTACTACTGACGTCACCACTACTACCACCAGCACTGCCGTCACAACCACTACCACGACATCCACAATCATAAAACCATCACTATTACCATCAGCAAAACCACTACCGTAAAACCACCACTACCTCTGCCACTACAACCATTGCCTTATCACCATTACTACAACCTTCATAAACATCACACTACCGTTGGCCGCCGCCACAGCCACTATTGTCGCCACCACAACCACTACCATCGCAACCACAACACCACCTTACCACCACCACTAACGCCACAACAACCTACCACCATCCTACTATCATTGCTATCACCACCACCAATGCCACCTAACGCCACAACAACCTACCACCATCTTACTATCATTGTTATCACCACCACCGATGCTGCCACCGCCACTACCACCATCCTACTATCGTTGCTATCGCCACCACCGATGCCGCCACCACCACCGCCACTACCACAACTCACACCATCACTTCCACAACTATTAACATTATCATAATCTACATAAATTTTTAATTTATTTGTTACTAGTTTGTTAAAAAAATAAATAAATAATAAAAATTTATTTCATTCCATGAGTTTAACAGGTATAACCAAACATGAGAATGAGAATTATCATCTTATTTCAATGTCATTCCATGTAGGCAACGAAACAATGGAATGGGGATGTAAAGCTTTGAACACTCCTATTGAACAGAATCATAGACGAGGGGATAGTGAAAGAGAAACTTTTGTTGATAGGGGTCATTATCAAAGACTTGTTGGTAGATTTATTTATCTTTCACTCACTCAGCCTAACTTAGCACATCCAATTACTGTGGTTAGTCACTTTATGCATTCAACTCGTGAGATTCATATGAAGGTTGTGTATAGGATTTTGAGGTACTTGAAGTCAGCACTTGGTAGGGGTATGTTGTTTTAGAAAAATGATGATTTGTAGATAGAAGCCTATACTGATGCAAATTGGGTAGGATGCATCACCAGCATGAGATCCACTTTAGGGTACCTACACCTTCGTAACATGGTGTAGCAAGAAGCAATCTGTGGTTGCCAAGTCAAGTGCAAAAGCATAATTTAGATCAATAACTCATGGAATATGTGAATTGTCGTGGCTGAAGTTGCTTTAGAAGGAGTTCGGTTTTGATTAGAAAAGTTCTAGAAAATTGTATTGTGACAATAAAGTGCTATTAACATTGCACACAATCTAGTTCAACATGATAGAACAAAACATGCGGAGGTTGATAGATATTTCATCAAAGAGAAGTTGAATGAGGATTTGCACTGTGTTTGTCAACATGGGAGATCAACTTGCAAATATTTTGACTAAAAGAGTGTTTAGTATGCTATTTTACTCTTTCCTTGACAAGTTGGGCATTCACAATATTTTTGCCCTAGCTTCATTCTTTTTAGTAAGCGAGCTTACGAACCAGAATTAATTTAATATTTCAGCAAAGAGTGAGAATTATAACACGATTAAAAAGACTTTTTAATTTGTCAAAGGAGCAGTCAAGCTTTTGAAGATTTTAAAACTACTCAATTAAACCCAAGTTTGGCCAATTTGGAAGCAATAACGTTCCCGTCATCAACAGAATGGTTTCACAGATTAATTTTGAGCGATTCATGTGAACTTTTCACAAGCAGCGTTTCAATGTTTGTTTGCCTTTTGGGTTACTTCATTTACTCTGTTGCTTCCTAGAAAATGTTTATTGAAATTAAATTATTCCATTGTTGCCCTTAGCATTTGAAATGGATTCTATTTATTTTTCCCACATGAAATGATCTAAGTTCCATTCCATGACATGTCATTTAAGAATGTCATCAAATGTCATTTCATTTATTTTTCTCTTTTTATCATCATATACCATGCAATTCAAAAAATTTATAACACCACCATTGCAGAGTATGTGTTTGTGCCATCTTCCGTGTACTCCGAAAAAAAAAAAAAGACTGGCTTCACATCCATAGGATGTTCAAATGCACTATGAGAACAAAAAGTGAATGTTCAAGTCTGATGAGATATAGAAGGAAGAAGATAGCATATATCTTTTTTAACAGCAAATCTGTCATCCATTGATTTTCTCATGGTATAAATTTTATTCTCCAGTAAAAGAGAGATTCAAATTTATTTCCTTAACTTGAATATATTGAAAAATAAAGTAAATAAAAGCAACTTACAGAGCTCATTATATGAATCATGATCATCAACACCAATTCGGCACTTAACGCTGACGGGAGCATCTGAGTTGGCAGCAATCACTGACATAGCCTCAGCAACAAACTTTTCTTGTAAAAAGCAGACATCTATATCAGAGCAAATTGACAAACAAACCCACTGCCTAGAATGGTTGCACAAAATGACATAGTCAGCACAATAATTCAAACCTCTGGATCAAGCATAAGACGCACACCAAAACACCCGTGTCCAGCAACCTTTGGGCTAGGACATCCACAGCTGGAAGATGAACAAGATCTCAGTTGACTGATGAAAATTAAAGAAGTTATAAGATTGGCAAAAACAATAGGACGAACTTAAAATTAATCTCATCGTAGCAGTAAGCATTTGCTAGTTCAGCTGCTTTTGCGAGGTCTTCCAAATTACTTCCCCCAATTTGAAGAACAACAGGGTGTTGTTCCGAAGTATACGCCAAGAATTTGTCCTAAGCAATCCCAACCAATTTATACAAAATCAGAGATCTTTGGAAACTGACATATCAGATGCACCAAAATCTAATCTAATGAGGTGAAGCCATTGCAAATAGAAGACAAAGACCAAAATATTAACACCAGAAATGAATGTTAAGGAAGATATAAATGTATAAAGAACATAATAGATTTGTGTAATTCCAGTAATGACATGTCAACAAATTTTGTTCTCCGATATAGATTCAGCTGACCTATGAGCCACTAATAATTATCAGAATAGCAAGCATATATTCATCAAAGAAAGTCTTCCATATAAAGAAATCAGTATTCATGTTCACTTGAATGAATATGTAAAACAATTTTAAGACTGTTCAACACATGCCTACTGTCCATTGTAATCTCCAAATGCAAATACAAATGCTATGTTAGCAGCTAAATTTTTTTACTATGCACATTGTAATTTTACTATGCACTTTTTGTATAATTTGCCTAAAATTATTGTGCAAACAGTAAAAATACTAATCATGCCTTGAATTTCGCCAGACAATTTACTGTTCATCAATAGTAAAACACTATACATGCATCGAAATCTTCTTTCTTTCATTCATGCAGGAGGAGGAACTTGTCTATAAAAGGAGGAGAAGAAGAAAGGCAGGAGAGGTCGGCATAGGAGAGAGCTCAAGGGAGGAACCGAGCAGAGTGAAAGAATCAGAGAGTGTTCCTCCAATATATTAGAGTAGCCGCACTTATGTGGAACTAACATTTTCTTCTTAGGTTAGAGATGAAACCCTAACAACATAATTGGGGTTTTATTGTAGTTAGTCTTTTTAGTTTTGATTTTGCGAGAACCCGTATTTTCACAAAATGATTTATTTCAATGAGCTTTTTGTGTCGCAATTTTTTTAGATCAATTAAAAAGTTATATTATATTAAGTCACTTTAATAGCAGCAATTCTATTATTAAGTTATAAAATTAAGGTTTTGTGGTTAGTAGTAATCTTGGACACTATCAATTTAGAGTGTGTTTGGGATGATCTAAATAAGATTACTTTTTGACTTTTTATGAAAAGATGTGCAAAAAAATAGAGAAGTGATATGCCTCAAAAAAGATTATAAAAAAAAAAAGTGCACTTTTGTAGGGGATGCCAAATATTCCGACCAAAATTCTAGATGTGGACTTTCAATTATAATAACTAACCTAATTAAGGATTAGCTAGAAGGAAACTACCTAGTTAGAAAATAAAAAATAATAACAATAAATCTATGTTGTCTTGTCATGTGGGGCCCACCCCACATGATGATGTTATCTTCTCAACCCTTGGGGAAGAAGGAAATGAGGCATGCACCCTAAGAGCCTAAGAGTGTCGTAAGATTGATTAGAGAGATTGACCTAGGAAAGCCATCTAACCAATCACGTTGCATGCAAGAAACTCTATTTATTTATTTTATTAGTTTGTTTATTTAAATATTATTTGCCATCATGATTTAAAAAAGAAAAAAGAAAAAAAAAAAGATGATAGACAACCAACTAATATCTTTAAGAGAAATGATAGCACTTGAAAGATTGTTGCCCTATAGGATTGCATGCAAACTTTCCTTGATTATTTTATTTCTTTACTTGAAAAACCTATGTAGATAATTAAAATAGTGAAAGGCAGATTTCTGTTTTGAGTGCCAATGCTTTGATCCCAGAGAAAGATTGCAATAAAGGAGGAATGGATAAATAAGACATACCTTCTCAAGTACCTCTCTAGTACCCAACCCATTTAAAGAAAGGATTCCGAAAAGACGGGTAACTTAATCCCTTTTCTATAAGAGAAAAGAGGATAGAGAGATAAGCCTTGAGCGGTCAGACCACGATTCGCTAAAGATGAAAGATTCTAGATGAGCAGCTAAAAGAAGGAAAGGCGATACAAAGAGGTGGAAAGGCCCGTTGACACATCGAAGGCCCGTCTTTTTCATTAACAAACCTTTTCCCTCCATATTATTTGCCATCATGAAAAAAAAAAAAAAAAAAAAAAAAACTATGTAGATAATTAAAATAGTGAAAGACTTGTGCCCAATTGGAGCAAATGCAATCCATTTTTAACAGATTTATTTTATCTTAATTAAAATCCCTCTCTTAAGAAGTGAAATGGTGGAAGTTGTTAACAGATGACAAAACTTGTGTATATTAATTAATCAAAAGAAGTACAAATATATAAGCAATAGAATGAAACCCTAATAATCTAAAGTACTAAACTATCCTTAATGAATAATATAAACTACATAATTCACACCCCCCCTCAAACTGAGGATGTGAGCGCAGAAAGCATCGAAAGTTTGCCAAGAAGAAAATGAAAACGAGCAACAGTATGAGTCTTCGTAAAAAAATCGGCCAACTGAAGAGATGAGGGAACAAAAGGGAGAGTAATAGTGCCAGCCTGAAGATGCTGTCTAAAAAGTGACAATCTATTTCAACATGCTTGGTCCGCTCATGAAAGACGGAATTATGGGCAATCTGGACAGCACTTTGATTATCACAATACAACGGAGTCGGATCAGAAAGAGAGACACCCATATCAGAAAGAAGCCAGCGAAGCCAAACGATCTCAGAAGTAGCATAAGCCATGGCACGATACTCAGCCTCAGCAGTGGAACGAGCAACAACAGATTGTTTCTTACTCTTCCAGGATATAAGGGAATCGCCAAGGAAAACACAAAGACCAGAAGTGGATTTGCGATCAGAGATGTCACCTGCCCAATCAGCGTCAGCATAGGCACGGAGAGTCAAGTCCGAAGAGGCAGATAACAGCAAACATTGCAACAAAGTGCCACGAAGGTAGCGCAAAGTACGAAGTAAGGCAGCCCAGTGTGTGGAACGAGGAGTAGAAACAAACTGACTGAGAATGTGCACAGCATAGGAGATATCCGGACGAGTAACGGTGAGATAAACAAGGCACCCAACCAACTCGCGATACAAAGTGGGATCCTCAAGAGGAACGCCATCAGAAGCAGAAAACTTAGCATGCAACTCAAGAGGAGTGTCAACAATTTTCTCATCAGTGAGATTGGCACGAGAAAGAATATCACGGGTATATTTAGTCTGAGAGAGAAGATACCCAGTAGGAGAAGTAGCAACCTCAATACCAAGAAAATACCGAAGAAACCCCAAATCCTTCATCTCGAACTCCTGAAACAACTGATGCTTAACCTCCTCAATAGCACTATAATCAGAGCCAGTGATGATCATATCATCCACATATAAGAGAAGGAGAACAAGCCCAACAGAAGTGCGCCGAACAAAGAGAGCACAATCATGATGACTAGGGCGAAAACCAAGCTGAAGGGCAACAAAGTGAAATCGCTCATACCAAGCACGAGGAGACTGCTTGAGGCCATATAGAGCACGGCGAAGACGACAAACAACACCAGGAGGGTGAGAGAGACCCGGTGGAGGGCGCATATACACTTCTTCAGCAAGATGCCCATTCAGAAAAGCATTTTTGACATCTAGTTGAAACAAGGGCCAATGATGGGCAGCGGCAAACGAGATAAGATTACGAACAGTAGTCATCTTGGCAACGGGGGCAAAAGTCTCATCGTAATCAATCCCATACTCCTGAGAAAAGCCTTGGGCAACTAGACGAGCTTTGTACCGTTCCAAAGACCCATCAGAAAGGGTTTTGACCTTATAGACCCATTTACAGCCTACAACATTCTTATCAACAGGTAATGGAACCAAATCCTAAGTCTAAGTGTTAGCCAAAGCAGTTAACTCATCATTCATGGCGGCAATCCAATTGGGATCATGACAAGCTTCCTTGTAAGACCTGGGCTCAAAATATGTATGAAGACAAGAAAGAAAAGACTGATAGGAAAGGGAAAAACATGTATTACCAAAACCATACCAGTTCGGAGGATGACGATCTCGCTTTGGGAAGCGATGTGCAGGAGGAGCGGGATCCAAAGAAACAGCTGGAGGGACAGTAGAGCTAGAGACAGGTGAGCTCGGAAGTGCTTTGCGGCGTTGATAAACAATAAGAGGAGCAGGAGAAGCGGGAGCTGGAGATAAGGTAGCTGGAGAGGTATTAGAAGTGCTAGTAAGAGGCAAAGTAGAGACCTCAAGGTCAGAAACAAGCTCATTAGGAGAAACATTAGGAGGAAATGGGTCAACATGAACCAATTCATCCTTAGTAATAGGAACAGGGGTGGAAGGCATAGTGTAGTAGGGTAGTTTTTCTAAAAAAGTGACATGCCTAGACACATATAGCTTTTTGGTGACAGGATCATAGCACCGATAACCTTTATGATTAATGCCATACCCTAAAAAGACACATAGGACACAACGAGAACTAAGCTTAGAGCGCGCCCGTTTAGGCAGGAGCACAAAGCATGCAGAACCAAAAATACGAAGAAGAGAATAATTGGGAGTAACACCAAAAAGACACTCATACGGAGATGAGCCTGAGAGAAGAGAAGTAGGCATCCGATTGAGAAGATATGCAGCAGTCAGCACAGCTTCTCCCCAGAAAACAGAAGGGACAAAAGATGAGAGCAACAAAGAGCGAGCTGTATCAAGGAGATGGCGATGCTTGCGCTCAGCTCGACCATTTTGTGCAGGAGTGTCAGAACACGAAGACTGATGAATAGTTCCATGAATAGCTAAATACTCCTCAAATTCAGACAAGTAATACTCACCCCCCAAATCAGAACGAAGAATTTTAATGGTGGTAGAAAACTGAGTGCGAATCATGGAGTGAAAATTAGAATATATTTTGTAAAAATCAGATTTTCGAGTCATTAAATAAACCCAAGTAAACCGACTGTAATCATCCACAAAAGCTACATAATATTGCGAACCACCTTTGGTAACTATAGGGGAAGGACCCCAAACATCAGTATGGACCAATTGAAAAGGAGAAAACGAAATAGAACTACTTTTATTAAAAGGAAGAGCAGACATTTTAGCCAGTTTATAACCACGACACTCAAAAATACCACTAATGGGAAAATTGCCTAAATGTCCAGACCT